ATGTCATTTCAATGAAATGAGCACAATCGTTCAATCAGTTTAAAACCCGCTAAATGCGCCAAATCGGCTTAGCGAGCTTCGGATTTTTCAGATGATCATTAGGCGCGTTTCAAAGCCGATATTTATCGTGTTTACCACCCGATTCCGCATGTCCGCCGAGAAGGGGATAGCCTGCCGGAGCGTCTCGGTCTTCAAGGGCTTTTGCCCCTGGTGGTCGGTGGGCCCCATCCCCTCCTCTTCTGTGCCCTCACTGTAATGCAAATAGACTCAGGGGGAAAAGCGCGTGGGGCGTCGTCCCGGGGGCTCTTGCCAGCCTTCGAGATTTTGCTCCTCTCCCTCATCCACAAATCCGCCACCATTTTGTCCTTCTCTTTTGCCGTATCGATTTTTGGTGTTTTAAAGTGTCTTTCTACGTCCACATAATTTAATTTTCGGCGGCATAAGGTATTTCAGCCTCGGGATGTCGTCCTGGGCCGACATGGAGCTGAGCTCCCGCTACGGCGGAGCCATGGGAGACGATGAGGAGGTGAGCCTGAATTTGACCCCTAAGGAGCAATTGTTTCAAGGTTTTGTGATTTGGCATAGCTCATTCAATAGAGTTTAAATTTACGAAAAGCCCCACTTTTCGAAATATTCTGAACGACAGCGATTTAACAATAGCGATTTTCGAGAAGCACTTGTGAAAGTAGGGCCAAAAATAAGCAAAATCAGATTTTTTCAATACCGTAAACTTTCAGAAGATTTCTTTGGAGCTGCGAGTTGTTAAAAATTAAATGCCCTATCGGATGGGTTACAGTACATCGCAAAAATACCGGTGTAAAAAGCAAAAAATAAGCCCTTGTGAGTGCTCTTTTAATATAGCTTTCAATGTCTTACAAAAAACAATTAAAATGATTGTTAGAACCAGCGCAAGTCCGATGAGCGCGAGCGCAAGAAGGCCGAGGTGCGTCGCCGTCTCGAGGATGCCAACCGCTCCAAGAAGGCCAAGAAGGGTTTCTTGACCCCTGAGAGGAAGAAGAAGCTCAGGGTGAGTCGATTGTGTTATTAATTAAGCGCAATTTTGTACAAAAAATACGCATCAGTGGCTATGAAACTGCCGCTATTTGCAATAATCTTCTAACCAAAAGTGATCAAATCGCTATGACCTCATTCATTTCAGAAGCTGCTGATGATGAAGGCCGCCGAGGATCTCAAGCAGCAGCAGATGCTCAAGGAGCAGGAGCGTCAGCGCATCCTCCAGGAGCGCATCCTGCCGCTGCCCGACTTGAACTCGTGCGGTGGGTTGCGGATTATCTGATATGATCTTATCTGAAGTGACACGCCCGTTTCCAATTAATAATCTGCAAAATTCATCAAATACTCGTAATTTTCAGACGTTGACGAGACGTTCGAGGAGTTCCTGGAGCGCGTTTTGGAGCTGGAAAGCGATGTAAGTGGATGTTAATTTTTTTGAGACTGGATTGGATTTGTTTTCACATTTTAGTATTGAATCGGGTATTTTTTTAGCAAAAAAAACCTTAAATGTATCCATTAATTTAGATCTACGATCTCTCCTACACCGTGCGTCAAAAAGGATTTCGAAATCAACGAGCTCACCATTGCTGTCAACGATCTGCGCGGAAAATTGTGAGTTTTCAAGTGTTTTCTCTTAATCAATATTTTCTAGCGTCAAACCCACGCTCAAGAAGGTCTCCAAGACCGACTCCAAGTTCAACAAGATCAAGAAGATCGAGTCCCAGAAGGTACTGTTCCTAAAAAATCATAAAACCTAATCTTCCAGGTCGATTTCGGAAGTGGCCTCCGAAAAGTCGAGAAGAACGACTACTCCGTGGATGCCGTAAGTCAATACAGATCATTTTTATGTTTTTTTTTAGCCGAAAGAGCCAAAGGAGAAGCTCGAGTGGCAGAAATAAGAATCCCCCCGGCATTCAACAACCGATGGGCCGTCGACGATAAAATCGAAAATCTACAAGCAAAAACATGGCTTCCTATTTCCCTTTTGCACCCCACACCCGCTTCTGCCTTGTGCCTGTGTAATTTGTAGCGTGTAATAAAGCATGTGACACCGGGCGCGACGATACTGTGCGGAAATCCTGTCTGGAAAGTTGACTGAATTTTTGAGACGTACACAACAAAAGTACAGAAACCGTGAAACACGGAGGCTGTGACAATCTGGCCGGCAGGAAAAGCAAATTGCCAGCGAAATTTTATGGACTTTCAAGCGGTCGGCGTTTACCCCCCCCCCTGGTCTCTGGTTAATGGGGTACAGTAAACCGTAGCCTTTCAAGCTTCCGGTAAAGCGGGATATCTTTTTAAATCAGCAATTAATAAATATTGCGCGCAACATTAAAACCCTAAAATTTCTGGAAAATTTTGTCGATCCTGATCCCTGCTGGAAAGGCACGTGCATGGTCCGTCAAGGTCATTACTTTTTTTGTGTCCTGGCCGGCTCGGTGCAACGCCGTTTTCAAAAGGTAGCTTGGATTCCGCTTAGGCTACATTAAAAGAGCTTTGAATTAGAATTTTAACTCCTGCTTACACGCTAACTTTTTGAAAGCGATTGCCTGGCTTTTGTAGAATTTATCGTAGAAGTTGTTATGGTCAGCAATCGGGAGTTACGGAAAATTTGCGACGGGATTTTCTGTGGTTTTGGTAAGTGTTGGTACGTATAAATCAAGCCATCAAAATGGCCAAGAGAAGATACGGTAAAATTTTTACAACGTTTTTTTTAGTACTCGGCATCTTCCTTATTTTTATCCCCACCTGGTTGATCGCAATTTGGCTGAGCCCGCCGCCTGAGGATTTGATTGAAAAGAGTAATAGGGTATTTTAATTACCAGAAGCCCCTGGAAAAAGAACGAAATTTAGACAGCTTTCCTTTGGAACGGGCAGTGGTATACATTTCCGGAAGCCGCACACACCAATGGCAGCGTGAACGTAAAGATGCTATTGAGCAACGAGGTACGATGGACTCAACTAATGACTAAAAAATTTTGCAGGGCTTATAAAACGTGGAATCTCGCTTATAAACGTTAATAAAACTTTTCTCGTTTATAAAACACAAAAAAAGCGGCCGAAAATACGAAAAAACGCCGATGAGAGCGTAATAAACTTAAAATTGTCCCTCAAAGAGTCAAACCTACCAATAAAAAGCGTAAATCATTTGTAGTTTGAGGTATAATATAACTAATGCGTGAGAATATTTATAACGCTAAAATCACGCTTTTTTTCACGGCAAAAAATACAGCCGAGGTCATGCCAATAAATCTCTGGCAGGTCCAATCGAACCTTTTTGTCCCCCTTTCACTTTCCCTCGCCCTCGACAATTACCCATACCACATGGCGGCGTTGATCCATCGACATTCCTTTCTGCCTTTTTCTATTCGATAGAAACGATACTCATCTATTCCTTCAAAACCGGATAAAAATTATCATCTAAAAATACATACCCTATGCCCACCCGCCGAGCAATTTGTCTAAAAATTTTCGAAGGGCTGGTGGCGATTTTAGGTAGGTTTTGAAAACCTATCAATCTATTTTTTAGCGATTGGTATATTTCTTGTATTTGTGCCCACTTTGTTCATATCACGATATTTTGGGCCGCCCACCGATGTTGAACAGCATGAAATCCTGGTAAAATGATCGGGTTTTTTTATAGAATCGGATTCTAGCTCAATTCGACCGCTAATAATCAAACTTTGGGTCTTCTTGGGATGCTGACGTCAAATACAAATTTGTAAGGCAGAAAATAGAATTGTTAGTCTCTGATTTTTTTTAGATAACCCTATCGATTTGATTGCTGGGATTCGATAAACTCAGGGATGCTAATTTCAACGCTGTTAATATATAAAGCTTGAACACAAATAAATAGTTTGTTGTTAAAACTCAGTGAGAAAACCAAATTAAAACCCGGAGCGTTCTCTCGCACTCTTACTCGCTAAATTTCTCTCACTCTTCCCTCTCACCATCGCTCTCTCTCCCTCTCTCTCTCCCGCTCTCGCTCTCTCTTTCTCCAAAAATGGCCGATCAAGGTACGCAAACCGTTTCTGCTGACCTAAACAATCCATATAGTCAACCATTCCAAGTGCCTTTAAAAGACACAACGTCATCACGAGGGTGTTCCCCCAAAAAGTGACGAATTTTTGGGGTTCTTGGAAGCTATTTGGCGTCACCAGGAAGCGGGGGATAGATCGAATGAGCGACTCTCCCATCCCTCCGTCCATGACCTTCATTTCGACGTGATCACATTTTTCAGCCTCGCTTCCCTAATTCTCTCCGTATTTTTCGTTCTTTTGGGTGCTTTTTAGGTCCGAGAACCTTTCATTAAGGTATCTTCAGCTCGGGCCGGTTATCCGTTTTACCGATATCCCAAAAATCGCCGGTATTTTGCTGGGATTGAGATTTTGCGACGCCTAGACTAGAGTTTTGGATATCTTTTGGCTATATTTCTAACGATCTCTTTTGATATTCATTTCTATAACTGCTAAAGGAATGTTTTTAATAAAGTGCCATGATAATTTTATGACGCTTAAATTATTTCACACCTAGATGTGCGCCGACAGTCCAATTTCAAAAATATTTGGATATGTGCTGATAGCAGTTTTCAGTAGGTTTAAAGCATCATAAGCTACAAACTTCAGCTGTTGGGTTAATTTTCACGTTTTTTTAGTGATCGGCACCCCGATAGTCTGCTGGATTTGGGGAAAAGAGCCCGTCCCGACGGTGACGAATTTCTACAATGAGGAAAATTATGTAACTTGTACCTGATTTTCTAAAAATCCAGTTTTGCCTTTAGACAGACCCGACGCCTTGGAATAACACGATAAAATTTCTGGACCAACCTCCGAAGCTCTACGAACATTTGCACATTTTGGGAAATGTCACGGAAAACGCGACAGAGTACGTTTTCCAATTTTTCAGCACGCAGATTCGTATTTTTAGGTTTTGCGTGATTTTGGCGCCGGAAGCAGATTTTGGCAAAAATGCTCCATGTCAAGTTTGTGCTTATTTTAAAGGGAATGGTAAGTCGTAGTAAAGCGCAGTAATAGGTTACTTATCTAGACTCGAAAATCATCTACACCGCAAAGAAGGATGGGAAAGTGCAATATACGTACGAGGCGCCTAATCCATTCATGGTAATTTTAAGGGAAAAACTACATAATGGCATGTTGTCCAAAAGCTCATAAAAACCGTGTTCCATTTAAGTTCCCAAAAACAACTCGCCTTTAGAACGGCACCGAAATGGACCTACGCATCCGATTCGTCGATAAATACGTTCAAATTTTTGCGCAGCGAGGTGAAATCGGGATTTTCGAAAAGTTACCCGAGGTCCATGAGGTAGTTCAAAATTTTTATTTAACTTTTTTAATATAAACTTTTTAGGCAAAATTCCTGATTGTTTCTGGGAATGTCACGCGTTTAAAGCTATTGAAAGTTGATGGCGGCTCATACAAAACAAGCCCTAATGTCACTTTTTCGCTGGGAAATGATACGCGATTCGACTTGTTGCTTCAGCCCTTGCCGGAAGGTATGGATTTCGGAGGATGTTTTAGATTAACTGGATCTGTCGCGATTTAAGACTCTTTTTAGTGAATCCGGATCGATGGGAGGCGTTGATCGAAGGGAAGTATCCGCCGAGCCAGTCAGCTGGTAGGTTTTTTTGCTCTGTGGTACCGTTCTTAAATCTCAGCTTAATTTGCTCATCTTCTATCGGATAGGGTTAAGGGTTTTGCGGGGGTACAGTCACTACCCCGAAAAGTCACTACCCCGAAAAGTCACTACCCCGAAATAATTTGCAGGATTTTCATAGGAAAACCGCATAAAAACTGGATTTTTCCGGGAAAAACAATGCTATCATTTTTCGGGGTAAACGATTTCGGGGTAATGATTTATCGGGGTAGTGACTTTCGGGGTAGTGACTTTTCGGGGTAGTGACTTTTGAGGGTAGTGACTTTCGGGTAGTGACTTTTCGGGGTAGTGACTTTTGAGGGTAGTGACTTTCGGGGTAGTGACTTTTCGAGGTAGTGACTTTTCGGGGTAGTGACTTTTCGGGGTAGTGACTTTTCGGGGTAGTGACTTTTCGGGGTAGTGACTTTTCGGAGTAGTGACCGGACGCCGATAGTCTTTTATCTTTAAATGACAGCCAATCAAATTTTTTAATGATGAGTATTACTGAAAAAATGGACGACGTTTGCTTGCCTCCAAATGATGAAGGCGGAGCTGGGTTAAATCGAAATTTTAGGATGGACACGCACAAAGCGAAAGAGCAGCGGCGGCGGTCGAGGCGGTAGTCACTCGAGGAGTTCGAGCAGTCATGGCGCCAGTCACAGTAAGTATTTGGCTAAAAAAATCTATGAAAAATTGCAGGCCATTCCAGCGGCGGTGGTTACGGTAGTTCGTCGTTCCACGGGTATACACTGTCATCGCACCGGTCCTCTTATCACTCATCCTCGTCCTCCCACTCGAACAGCTATGGAAAGCCGCAATATGGGGTCTATTGGTTTTCGCCGCCGGTTGGAGGTAAGCCACTTTTGTGAGATAGCTTGATTTTCTACTCGATCGACTTTAATAAGTTGTTTTATACCGTAAGATTTTATTTAATGCCCATTATCTGCCATATGTTCAACGCCGTTTCAGGATACTACACAATTCCGCACTCACCCAATAAAAATGCAAACAATACCCACGTCTACACGCCCGCCTCCTACTCCTACCGATGGAACGGCAGCACCCATTACTCCCCCAGCGAGGGCCACGGCCTAAAATACGACCCAAGCTTTGTCGTTGACAAGGGAACTCTGCCTAAACGTAAGGGTTTATATGAATTACGTACGTTTTTTTTAGCTAAACGGATCGATATCCTGTTCTATGTAGCTAAAGAAGCGGAGATGACACCTGCCTGGGTGGTACGTTGCATCGCGGTTTCGGTGTTACAAGAACTGCGCTAAATTTCATGCTCCCGGAAGTCGTGTGAGCAAGAGTACTTCTTATCATATATTCTATGACTATTCTTAGAGAGCAATGGCTTCACGTTTTTAAAATTAAATGCAAATTTCTCGCTATGGTGACCCAAAAACGACCCCCTACCCACTATACATATTTTTCAAAAGTAACAGCGTTTTCGGTGTGAAACGAGCAATTAACATTCGAACAGCGCATGAATTCACTCCTTGCTCTGCTTAAAGGGCTGCCGACGGCATGTGTCGATCCCCCCCCCATCAACAAATTGGCAAGTAGCCAACAGAGCAGAGAGCGCGCCCGGGGGAGAGGCGCAGAGACATTTTCTTTCCAGCGCGTAACTGATTGACTATGCCGTCGGCATCCCTTTAAAGGTCAAAAGCCCTAAATTTAAATTGTATTTGAGGTGTTAAAAACTTAAAAAATTCTCGCCTTCCCGCGCTTTCAGGTGTTTCGAATAGTTGAAGAATTCACCGTTTGTAGGTCTCCTTCCGTTTTACGGAGCGAAGCGTCGTGCTCAACACCTACGATGGCCATTGGAAGGACGAGGATCGAGCCGATTTCATGCCGATTGACGATTGGAGATTGTAAGTGTGTGGAAGGAGCACAAACTCAAAACGCAACATATAAAATATCGACAAAAAGCCCATCACGCCAAATACCAAAAATGTTTGTATTTAGGGTCGACCTCGTGATCTGGAAGTACAGCTCAAAAATGCACATCTTTATCAACAACTACGAATTTGCCACGTATGACATGAACACGCCGCTGTATAAAAGTAACACGATGCGGATTACAGGGGATTTAGAGGTTTGTAGCCATCAATTGTATAGATAAATTTCTTTTTTCAGATCCTTGGCGTGAAAATGAATGGTTGGTCGGTGGAAGGAAACTGAACTCGATTATCGTAGCGTGCCGGTTGCTGTGATTTAAACTCTGAGAAATGCTCACAGATACGCTTTGTACATAAAATATCGAATAAAAATGTCATAATCAAAGAGCGGGATTGAATAAACACCTCAATGCTAAAAAATGTGGCTTTAGTGATGGGAGATGATCCGGGGCGAAAAGAGGGCAAAAGAGAATGAAGAAAGATAGAGTTAAAGAAAAAAGAGAGAGAGAGCAAGAACGAGAGAAAGAGACAGAGCGAGAGAGTGCGGGAGAGAGAGTGAGAGAAAGAGAGAGAAAGAAAGAGAACGTTGTGGAGAATGAGATAGATAAAAATTAAGAGAGACAGGAAACGAACGCTCACACATGCGGACCGGCTTTGAAGGGAACCGGCGGACCAGAGTTTGAGATGGCTGGAGTTGAAAAATACAGATTACATTTATTCACATTTTGTTGTTGCTGAGCAATATAGTAAGTATTAAATACTAAATACTAAACGACAAATAATAAATACTAACATAGTAAGATAAGTATTAAACTGTAAACCCTCAAATCTCGCCTTTTTCACACGCTACTATGTTTTTGAAGGTCATCAAAAGTTCAAATTTCCCTCCCGTCTCGTCCCTCTCCTTTTTCCAGATATCCTCACCCATAAAAACAAACAATTCGCGGTGGATAGTTACGCCGTCCCTTCTCCCTCCTCTCGGCCACTTGTTTTGGCAACCGCGCGGCGGCCCACGCGGCAAATTTTCCACTCGAAAGGCTGGCTTGGGCTTGACGGGAATCCCTAAAACCTCCTTCTGGCTGCTCGACACCATCTATTAAACGTCTTAAACCTACAATTTTTTACTGTATAAATTCCCAAAATACGATCAATAAATTATGGAAACTCGACACGCTCCCTTATTGAGAAAACCATCGCACTCGAGGCATAAGGTATGTTTTATATATATTTATTGGGTTACATTTTTTAAATTTTAATAAAAATCATCAATAGATTAATAATCGAAATCCTTAATAATTTTGACAATAAGACTATCAAACCGTTTAGCCAAAATTCTACCGTATCTAACAAAGAAATTTTTAATTCTCTGATACCTTCCTGTAAAAATATATCATTTATTCTGCCGTTAAATCCGTTAAATCCGTTTCAGACGCTAATATCTACGGCATCTGTGATATGCTTGGTAGTTGTTGTAATTGGTAAATTTGCGCGTTTTTCAAAGTTTCTTTTGCCTTTTTTAGCACTTGCTGGCCTCCTCATTGCCAGCTATTTTCTGAAGGAGAAACCGGAAACCCTCGAAACTTTGGTAAAATCAATATAGTTTGGAAAAAGTTAGCTTTTCAGATCAACGGAACCGACACTCAGGACACTTCCGGGCGGCTTGGCACGTTGACTTCAGATACAAAATTGTACGATACAAGAAGGTTCCCAGAACAGGTTTAGGTAACCAGCTAACTAAGAAAGATATGATATCAAATTTATCGACGCATCCAAAGAGACTATCTGTGTTCCTGTGTTTATGTGAATAAATGTATTTGCTATCAGCACCGTTAATTTCCGATTTAATATACAATCCCTAAAGCTATATTAGATTAACAAAATAATTAATTTTGAAAAAATACGGTCCGCCGGGTTATCCGTACTATAATACAGAAGGACTAACAGCTTACAGACTAACAGATCAGCGGCTTGGATGCCAATGAATCGATGGCACACTCATGGCCCGGTGTATTTACCCTTTATCTTACCATGACTCAGTCCTTTTTTGGAGCCCAGTCACCCCCCAAGCGCCCTAAACCGCACATATTCTTCCTTGCCTGGTCTCTACTCGCTAAAAATGCCCCATTGGATAAATAGGAATCGGCGGCAAAGTTGTGATACTGATGGTCGCCCTAAGGAAAGAAAGAAACCGCCGCTAATATGCTTCGCGATTGCTGTGATACTATGTAGGTAAGTTAAAGTTAAAGGATTGACTGGCTGATTCTTCAAAGTCTCAACTTCCAATATAACCAACATTTCAGCAATTTCTGCCGGTTATTTATACGTTACCTTTTTGACCGGGGCGGGAGAAGAAGGGCCACCGGAAGAGATACACTTTTGGGATGAAGCTCATTTCGTAAGTGATATTTTAGGGCTTCGAATTCCTGTTTATGAACCGGCGCCTATTAATCCGCACAGAGTATACGTACCTGAGAGTCAATAGATTGCTATAATTTTTGAACAAGGTCTTTTTTAACGATTTGGGTCATATAATTAACCTACGTCCTAAATCCAAGCCTTATCCTTGGCTCGCGTTCAGTTTTTTGTTTTGTTTTTCGTTTAAGCTAAGCCGAATCTAAGACTAAGTTAAGCTCAGCCTGATTGCCATGACTAACTGTAACGTGTTTTTACTTAAGTTGGAGTTTCGATTCGGGACCAAGTGCCTTTTGTACCGAATTTTTCGCTGATTCCGAGTCCGTTTTCCAAATTCGCTGCGGACTTGTATTTTAAACGTCATTTTTGGTTCAAATTAAGCTTAAAAAGCCAAAAAATCGGAGTCTGACCCAACATTGCCTCCTAGGTTCAGTGAATTCCAGGGGCCCTGCAGTACGCTCTCCCGGCCCGCTGCCCATTTGGCACCATGGTGCATTGGCAAAGTACTCGCTTGCCAAGCGCAGGGCAGCGGTTCGTGCCCCCCTATAACCTTCTTTTGCTTTTTGCATATCAAATCTTAATTTTTTTTTGTCTAAAAAGCTTGTTTTAATTTTTAAATGCCTCGTCTAGGCAATGCCTTGCGAATTTTGACATCGAAATTTATCAAGAAATACGAAAACGATCAGGGTTCCTTGATTTTGGTCAAAAACACTACCATAATTGTTGTATAACTTTCACATTAAATGTCGCAGCAAATTTGTAAGACCGGATCCGGAATCAGCGAAAAATTCTGCACAAGATGCACTTGGTCCCGAATCGAAACTCCAACTTAAGTAAAAACACTTTACAGTAAGGCTTCACTGTCACTTTAGCCGGACCCAGATCCTCTACTCGGCACCCAGATTGTTCTTACCCAAAGTCCCAAAATTGGGCAATACCTGCACATCGTTGGCAATGTGACGAAAAATACTACATCGTAAGTTGTCCCGATGTCAGGGCTTCACTTTCAAAAGTTTTAGCTTCTGCGTGACGCTTCAGAAAGACTTTGAGGACCTGCAAAATGTTGCTTGTAATGTTTGCGCGTATTTTGGGGCTGGTAATTTTTTACAAAGCTAGCATATAGCGAATTTTCTCAAATATAAAACCAATTCCAGATCCAAGAATCGAATATGATATTTCGCATAATGGGCTGCTTTTCTTAAACAATCGGGCCATAAATCCGTTTGCAGTCAGTTTGCTTTGCTCGTCCTCTTTTAAAGCTTGCTTGTATAGACTCTTTTAAGACAGGTGAGCAATTCGACCTCCGAATCCGCTTCCTGCACGAGAACGTCCAAATCCTTGCGCAACGCGGCGAGATTGGCATTTTTAGCAAGGACTACAATGTACATGAGGTATGACCGGACCATTCCTTTTTAGTGGACACAGGCGAAACATCTAAAAATCCTCGGAAACGTTACGAATCTGCGGTTGATGCAAGTTGATGGAGCAAATTACACCACGCCTTACTATCGAAGGATCGATTTTGGGTCTCGATTGGATATTGCATTGAAGCCAACAGCCGAAAGTAAGTCCTAGCAATTCTAATTTTGGTTTTAATCTTGAATTCAAAAGTGAAAATTTGTAGAAACAAGCCAAAATTTAGAGATCCTTAGCTTTAATTCATTATTTAATGAATTTGCAGTAAAAACTTATTAATTTTTTAGTGGACCCTGCGCTTTGGGAATCGTTGATCGAAGGAAAACCAATGAAAGGTTGGGGCCCAAATTAAAAGGAAATTTACCAAATTAATGTAGCTTCTCGAAACCGCTTAAGACGAAAAGGTGGTCGGGGAGCTGGACGCGGGGGAAGGGCAGTGCAAGGAGCTGCTGCTCACGGTGATGGCTCACGCGGCTTTTCAGGCAGGAGTGCTACGGTAGCAGGAAGAATAAAGCAATAATCTAGGGCGAGGCTCAAGCAAAGGGGTTTTTAAGGCCTATCGAAGGCTTTCTTATCATGCCTCATCACAGGCTTCAAACACCAGCTATGGACACGGTAGCATGGGACACTACTGGTATTCGCCGCGGCACGGGGGTCAGTAATAAGAAGGGTTTTTGGAGGCCTTAAATTTTGACTAACGACACATATTTCAAGAATTCCGATTTTACAGATAAACTAGGATGTTTCAGGATACTACCATTCACAGCCCAGCCCATGGGGCGGACCAGCCTATGTGCCAGCCTCATACTCATATCGTAACTCCAGAAATGGATCTATGGTTTATGCTGACAGCGAGGGCCACGGTCGCTACTATGACCCTAATTATGTTATCGACATCGAAAAGATTCCGAAACGTGTGCCAGATTCTATTTTCGTTGTTTTCAAGCTAATTTCTAGCTAGATTAATCAATGTTATACTCTATCGTAGCAACGGTCACAACGCTACGAATCGTGAAGAGTGGTCGCCAACTTTTAAGGTAAGTTTTGCTTCGGGTTCCGATTTCTTCGATTGGAGAACAATTTTTGAATGGTCAGCTGCTAATATTGATACACCTTTTTAGAAATCCTAAATATTTCAGCTCTCCTTTCGCTTCGACCTGAATACGACAACCCTCAGCCGATTCGACGGAGGATGGGTAGATGAAGAAAAAGCGGATTTCCTGCCGATAGACGACTGGAGGCTGTGAGTCAAACCCATTTTTTTTGCATTTCCAGGTTTATTATCATCCAAAAAAACCATCTGACAGCCTTCTGAAACGAGATCACTACGGAGGATTTCGATTTTTCAGGTTCGATCTGGCGATCCGCCCTGCAAATCACAAGCTATACATTTACATCAACAATTACGAGTTTGCCAGCTATAAATTGAGTTCCGAAATCATGGCCAGCGATTATATTGGGATCGAGGGTGATGTGGAGGTACCTAAAGCGGTTTTCAGGTTTGAAAAAGCATTTTAGATCCTCGGCCTTAAGGAGGATGGCCTGTTGGCATAAGCGGGTAGTGAAGGAATGCCAAGGCTGCTGCTTTTTCTCTCTGTGTTACATACTTGTCTGAATTTTGCGTGGTGCATTGTACAGTAATTCTTTTCTGAATTTACCTCATCAAATTTCTGTGTTTTTAATAAAAGATTCGTGGAAACCAACAGCCGTAGAGAGAGAGAGAGACACATAGAGAGAGAGAGGGAGAGAGAGCGAGAGCGAGAGAGAGAGAGAAAGGGAAAAAGAGAAAGAGAAGGAGAAATTTTCCAAAAACCCAGAATTAAGCCAAGCCTAGTGGCATGGAAAATTTGTATCCCGAGCCAGGTTTGTATTTCCGGTGCCAGGTCTTTTCCGGACCAAATTTGGCTATAAACAGATTTTTCGGAAAGAAGTGAAAATCTTATCGAATAAAAAAAATGAAAGCAAAGGTTTAGGTAAAAATAACTCAAGAACTTTATCTAAATATCCGCAAAAATGCGAAGTTTAAAAAACTAATGCATTTTCAGGCGCCGTCGCCCTATTGATCCTGCTCGGCCCCAACTTTAATAAACCCAAAGAATACCCAAGGACCCTCCAGATCCCCCACCAAAAGTCATTCACTTTTTGGGCGAGGCTAGATTGGTGGGTTGTATCGGATTTCGTGACCCCTTTTGTTTGTAGCCAGAGCCAGATCCACTCCTCGGAACGAGAATATCTCTAAATAACTCGGCAACCGTCGGGCAGCACCTCCATATCTTGGGGAATACCTCCGAAAATGCGACAGCGTAAGAAAGAAATTGTAAAATAATAATCCGGGACCTCAACGACTTAGGTTTTGCGTGACGCTATCAGAAAACTTTGCGGAAAATTATCTCTGCGAAGTTTGCGCATATTTTGGAGCCGGTAGAGAGAGGATTTTGAGTGGAAAATCGGTTCCTTTTAGACCCGAGAATCGAGTACGCGGCATATCGGTATGGGAAGCGAATGTTGAGTGGAAGGGGATTGAACCCATTTACGGTAAGTAATTTTTTGGATGTTTTCTTATTGATCACTTCTTATTCCTTGTTTCTATCTCTTTCTTATTTCTTTACAAATTTTCGTAATTATTCACAAAAATATTGATGCCGGGCCAAAAAATTTAAAGGATCGATGAAATAGCAACCGCGATAGAGAACGCAAGCTTTACAAAATAAAACCTGGGTTTTTTAAAAACGAAAATACGCTTTGCTACAATCAAGATAGACAACGCGCGCACTTACATTGCATCATGGAATAAGTTTTTTAAGGCAGACCATGGGCATACGCGTCGCGTGTTGCGGCGTAGCAGCCTCAGTCCCAGTCCCCTTAATGCTTCTTTTTTTCAGCCAGGCGAACAATTCGACCTCCGCATCCGCTTCCTCCAAGGCTACGTACAAATTTTTGCACAGCGTGGAGAAATCGGTATTTTTGGAAAGCTACAAGAGGTACGTACATGAGGTAACGGAGGACCTTTGCAAATGCAAACCAGGTGCAGGACGCGAAAGCCCACGTGCAGGACACGAAAGACCACGGTTGTGCATCTCCAACCCTATCCAGACCTAGCGCATTCCCCTTAATCCCAGACCATTCCCCGACTTGTATTTCGATGTTTTCCGGTATCCTTTTCTAATATGAATAAACTCTTATTCCACGAGAGTGTCCCTTATCCAGACAATAGCATTACACTACCGCTGATTAGCCGTTCGCGCGTCTTCTATTGGTTCAGGTCTTATCCCAACAAGGGATGCGGGTGGCAAGTCTTCGCGTGGGCGCTATTCTAGTATTTATTACTAGTACTTTTAACCGACAACACTCGTTTGGGCTAGTCCTTGGCAAGAAGCCACCATGCAAATGAATCGATAGCCCATCGGACCCTTGTGGATCTCTTGATGCCCAAGTGGGCCACGCGCCTTTCCGGCTTTGCTAGGGCCACGCGGTTGCTGGGCCGTTTGTGTACACTTTCTTCACCACCCACCGTTTGGTCGATCGGTTTGCTCCGTACTATGAAACGAAATCGACGGCCCGACCTTGCGAATGACGACAAGCCATCGAACGCAGCGATCGCATGCTGTTCACTTTTGATCGTTTCATGTGGGTTTAATCTTACGGAAAATAAGATTTTTGGGTTTGGGTTAATGCTTGTTTGCAGAAACGAGTTAGCCTACATCTCATCAGGTTTGGGTTACCCTTTTGGCTTTCCGAATCTCAGAAATCGCGTTTTTTGAGAAACATAACATTTTTTGCGCTTCGCTTTTCGAGACGATTGTGTGAAAATTTCTAACAATTCGAAAACTGAATCTGAAAATTTGTTAGACAAGATAAATAAACATCATAGCTCTAAAAAATAATAAAAATAATGAATAAAATAATAAAAAGCAGAGATTTTTCAAGCCACCTGAACCTGAACCACCTTTTCTTAAATTTTCGCTTCTGATAAAGTCTATAAATGATTGCAAATTACGCCAAACACGATTCTTTCGGTGCAAAAAAGTAAAAAAATTGCCTGTTATGTTTCCTGACCATCTTGACCCATTTACAAAATAAAAAAAATTAAGCTTAAAAAATCCCGAGTTTTTTTTTTGGGTGTTTTGGCCAACGTTCAGGTAACGTCAGGACATTAGAAGCGAATAAACAACACTTCAAAACAGAGTTTTAACGATTCCATATTTTAGTGACGATCTGCGTCTTGGTCGGTTTCCACGTGGACTTTCTTGCGCGAGAAGAAGAGCAGCGCCATTTTGAGCCCCATACCCGTCCAGAGCCCCCGTCAGAACCCCCGCCGGAAGTTGTGAAATTTTTGGGAGAGGCTGATTTGGTGAGTTGGACGTTGCCTATTTATATCTTCACTTTAGCAACTCATGCTCTTTACTTTAGCCACCCCCGGACTCCCTGCTGGGAACGAGAATATCTCTAAATACCACGGCAACCGTCGGCCAATACCTCCATATTCTGGGGAATACCACCAAAAATGCGACGTCGTAAGGGAGAAACGATTTATATACAACTTTTTATTACGTTAGCTTTTGCGTGAGGCTAGCTGAAGATTATGACGATGACGAGAATATTGCTTGCAACGTTTGTGCGTATTTTGGAGCAGGTAAATCAGGCTAGAAGCATTAAAAAATTCAACGCTTAGACCCGAGAATCGAGTACGGGGCATATCGGGATGGGAAGCGCCTGTTTAGCGGAAAGGGTTTTAACCCGTTTACGGTAAGTGTTTTTTAAGGGAACTTGTTCGGTTCATTTTTTTTGACCTGTCTTTTTGAACATTTGTAATTAAAGCCTTCTTTTAGACAATTCAACACAGCCCTTTTTAGCCAGGCGAACAATTTGACCTTCGCATCCGCTTCCTCCAAGACTACGTACAAATTTTCGCGCAACGTGGAGAAATCGGCATTTTTGGCAAGCTGCCTGAGGTCCATGAGGTAGAGCAGGATACCTTAAACATCGGTTAAATCGTAATTAAGGCAAAAAGTCTAAAAGTGATTGGCGATGCCACAAATCTGCTGCTGATACAAGTTGAGGGCGGAAGCTATACGACGCCTTTCTATCAGCGAATCAATTTCAATTCCGGGCTGCGAATCGATATGGTGTTGAAGCCGGTGCCGGAAGGTAAATCTCTTACCTTTTGAAAGTTGAAAACGAGATAAAAACTAGATGGTTTTTTGAAATGTTTGAATAAGATTTTGGATAAAAATCTCAAAACGAAAATATTTCTCCCAGAAAATCGTTGTTTTTGCATTTTTTCGATTTTGAGATGATTTGGACGTAGAAACAGAAAGCACTTACTAAAAAATAAATCAATAACATTGGAAATGGAATCGAAAGCCTATAATCTCATTGTTCTAGTGGACCCCTCCTTCTGGAAATCACTGATCGAAGGCCAACCAATCGAAAGTAAGCAAATCTGCTAAAGCAAACTAGAGAAATTTTTCAGCTGGCCCATCCCTCCGGGTAAAACGTAAAGGCGGATCCGGTGGTAGCCGTGGCAGCAGCGCAGCACGAATGAGCAGCGGATCCCGTAGCAGCTCGCGGAGTGGCTCAAGCTGGAGAAGTTCGAGCAGTTATAGTAGAAGCAGTCCTGGCTCGAATGGTATGTAATTGCGAGGCCACAAACGAAAACCCTAGGGCAAAGCTATGGTGGGGGGAAGTTACTCAAGCCACAAACCCGTCCCACGATTCACGTCGTTCCGCAGAAGTCCGACATACGTGGGTGGCCATGGCACGGGTTATGGACGCAGTACTATGGGCGTATATTTGTATTCGCCGGCGCATGGAGGTCAGTTTCAATTTTATGAGCGACTTAATTAGGCTTAGGACAGGGATAGGCTTAGGCTTCGGCTTAGTCTGTGACTTGGGCTTAGCCTTAGGCTTACGCTTCGACTTGGGCTTCGGCTTGTTAGATTTGAACTAACGCCGGCTCGTAAACTTAAACTGCCTCTTTCAAAGCCCACCACTTTAAATATATTTTTCTAGGATACTACCACCCGTCACCAAGCCACTCCGTCACAAGCCCCAAGGCTCACTTCTACTCCCCGGCCTCATACTCCTACCGTAACCCGCGGAAAAACGGTACTATGGAGTATTCCCTAAGTGATGGTCACGGACAAAAACCCCGATCCAAACAATGTCGTAGATCCGAAGCTGATCCCGAAACGTAAGCTACTATTTTCTCGCGTAGAACACCATTTTTCCAGCAAAACGAATCGAAATCATGTTCTATTCGTATGGCCCGGACCTAAAGACCGGCGATTGGGGCTTGACCCCGAATTTCCGGGTAATCAGCTTAAAATCTGAAACAGCGGATTCATTTAGATATCATTCCAATTCGACAAGAACGTGACGGTCCTTGATCATCCAACCGAATTCTTCGGGTCGCTGGGTGAGGAGCGCGCCGATTTTGTGCCGATGGACGATTGGAGACTGTGGGTTCATGCAGGAAATAATTTTGAAATGTAAAAATAATGTTGAAAATTTTGTAAATCCTATAGGAGAGAAGGCTCTCAAGGGACAATCACCTAAAACTCCCTTTTTAATTTACTTAACCCGATTTCCAGGTTTGATTTGGTGATAAGATGCGTCAACCGCCGACTCCGCATCTATGTCAACAATTATGAATTTGCGAATTATGAGCTCGGCCGGTCGATCGAGGGCACCGATCATATTGGAGTCACCGGCGATGTGGAGGTATCCAAATCTTTACTTCACTAATTTGCAGCAAATTTAGGTTCTCGGCTTCACGGGCAACACCTTGGTGGGCCAGCCGGGTGTCCAAGACCCATACAGTGCTCTAAAGCTTTTGCTTAATTCCTAATTCATGTGTTTTTTTTGGTGCTTGTTTCGGATCTCGGTGTGATTTGCCTTATTTTCCGTTCAATTCTCGGTTGTCTTCAGGAACAGATAATTTCACTTGATTATTATACCTTTTGTCTACAGAACTACAAACCACAAAAGAGTTTCGACGACCTCAGATTTTCCAAGTTTTTTTTTGGTAGATTTTGAATGGAATCAACACTTGAAAAAATACTAACAAGGAGATATTTTAGCGACAATCGAGTTTATACACGGGGGCCTAGCCGTTGCAAAATTTTGCGTTGATTCCTATTTTCTGAATTCAGTTAAATCAGGTTTGAAACCAGATTCTGGTTTCAAAAACTGCGAAACATACAGCTTAAAGGGCACGTTCAGGGACGTTTTTTTGGAAAAAAGCAACGATTTTCGCCGCGGCCGGGGGTCGAACCCGGGCCCCCCGCTCGGGAGGCGCGGATGGATACCAGTCAGCCACAGCTACAACCTGGCGAGGGGGCGAATGGCCTGTCACAGCACGGGCAGGCAGTGCGCGCGGTCCCTACGTCCATAGGGTGTATACGTTGGGACGAGTATACGGCCCCTCCCTGAACGTGCGCTTTATGAACGTTCTGAAGCTGTCGGCGTAAAAAGTCAAGAGATAAAAAGTTCGGAGAGACGGTGCAATTAATTTTTTCGTCAGAATCTTGCGCGAATGGATCTGTTTTTGTTTAAAAATGAAGGAGTGAATGTTGTTTATTTTTTCCGCATCTGCCGGGCATGCAAGAGGCCGCTATGAAATCGATAGCTGGGCCCCTGCCGAGTGACCCTAGTCCAAGTGGGCCACGCCCCCCTTTTTAGCATCCCGCTGACGCAGTGGGTCTCTGGACCTAGTGTATTCTTTCGAAATCCCTGACGTATGGCTGCTATTCCAAATCGTAACCGACGGCCTGATATTGAAGATGAGGATGAGAAAAAGTCGAGAAAACGGCTCGCCTGCTTTGAGGTTTCCTTTGTTTTCGGTATGTTGAAGCTTTTGCCAATATTCCAAGTAGAAATCTATTTAAAGACTAACAATTAACGAAAAAACGCTAAATTTTGATCAAAAAATCAAATTTTTTTTGATTTTTGACAAAATTTTTAAGTTTTTTGCATTTATTGCTGGTACTCATTACAAGCTTAGAAACTTCAAAACTACAAGATCTGTTTGTGCGGAAAAACGTAACCGTTCAAAGACCCAAAATATCAAGCTAAACAAATAGATCCCAGGAAATATTTATTCTGAAGGCTAAAAACTATTGAAAAACGCCAAATTTTGGCCAAACAATCGATATTTTTTGTTGTTTTTTTAGCGGAATTTTAAAGTTTTTCCATTAATTAGTTGCGGAAAACAGCTCAGAAATAGTCTTAACGCGCTCCAGATTGTGCAAAAAATCATGACGACTGGAAAAATGCTAGTTTCTGAAATCCAATCGTATTTCAGCCATGTTAGCCCTCCTATTCTACCTTAAAATTTGCAATAATCACCCCGAAGAGCCACCCTATGACTCACTCCCTGACATCCCTCCGCCAACGGAGCCTCCAGAGCCCCCGCCGGAAGTCATCCACTTTTTCGGCGAAGCTAAATTGGTGAGTGCCATGGGTTTTCCTGAGTTTTCTGTGCTTGTTTAGCCAGACCCAAACCCGCTTCTCGGAACGAGAATTACCCTAAATAACTCGGCAACCGTCGGACAGTACCTGCATATCCTGGGGAATACCACCGAAAATGCCACATCGTAAGAAACTAATGATAAAATTCGGTACCTCAAAGATTTAGATTTTGCGTGACACTGTCCGAGGACTTTGACATTGACGCGAATTATGCTTGCGGAGTATGCGCTTATTTTGGAGCCGGTAAGTTAGGATTGAGGGACAAAATCGATGTCTTTTAGACCCAAAAATCGAGTATGCCGCATATAATTATGGGAAGCGAATTTTTAATGGAACGGGTTTGAATCCGTTTACGGTCAGTGCTTTCTGGATTTGTTCTGTATCGTACGCGTATTTGCTGCTTTTTTGATCGTAAGCTGAAGCCAAAGCCTAAGCCAAAGCCTGTCACGACGCAGCGGAATCCTAGTTTTTACTACCCTTATTTTCCCTTAAAAGCATTTTTTTTCAGCCAGGCGAACAATTTGACCTCCGCATCCGCTTCCTCCAAGACTACGTACAAATTTTCGCAGAACGAGGAGAAATCGGCATCTTTGGAAAGCTACATGAGGTACATGAGGTATCGCAGGATGGTTTAGATCTGGATTAAATCATATTTAAGGCAAAAAGTCTAAAAATCATTGGCAACATCACAAATCTGTTGCTGCTGCAATTAGCGGGTGGCAATTACACGATGCCGTTTTACCAGCCGATAAAGTCTAAAGTTGGACTGCGATTGGATATGGTGTTGAAGCCCGTGCCGGAAAGTAATGTTTTTAGATGAAAATTATGCTGACACTACCTATAAGGCCCCTAAAACGCATTGAAATTTTAGATTTGGCCAACATTGGTCAAAAATTGACGTTTTCTAGATTTTATCTGGGCGCTATGAACTTTTTAATAATAAGGATATTTAATAAATATTCCGTTTTAGTGGACCCCTCGCTATGGGCAGCGCTGATCGAAGGTCAACCTCTTGAAAGTAAGAAAATATATTTAACTAAAGCTAACAAGCATAAAGTGCAAACCACAGGTATACAAACACGCATAATTTCCAGCCGCGACGAACAGCTCGATTCGCGTGAAGCGCAAAGGTGGTTCGGGTGGAAGCCGTGGCAGTAGCGGAGCACGAAGTAGCTCTCGCAGTAGCTCCCGTGGCAGCTCAAGTTGGGGTAGATCAAGCAGCTCGAGCAGCAGCAGCTCTGGTGGCTGGTTTTCATCAAGTGGTTTGTGATGCTCCGAAACCGCAAACGAAAATTTAGGCAAAAGCTCTGGTGGTGGCGGTGGGCAAACAAGCTATGGAGGCGGAAGTTACTCGGGCCATAGCTACAAACCTCCACCACGCATCACGTCGTTTAGGATGAGGCCGACTTATGGGTCAGGTTATGGCACAAGCTATGGGCGCAGTACGATGGGCGCGTATTGGTATTCGCCGATGCACGGAGGTAGGTGAAAATTTATCTTTAGGCTTATGGGGAGTCTTACTTTAGGCCTAAGCTTAGGCTCGGCGGGCTTGGGCTTGGGCCTCGACGGAGCGAGGCGGGGCTTAGACTAGGACTCGGGCGTAGGCTTCGATTAAGGCTTAGCGCTGCTTATACTGAGACACATGCTTAGTTTATCATTAGACTTAAGCTAAAGTTTAGGCTTAGGCTTAGGCTGCTGCTGGGGCTGAGCCTTACAATTAGGCTGACGCTTCGGTTTGGGATTAGATTTGGGCCAGCGTAGGCTCGAACGTAGACGGCTTCATCCAAACTGCCCCACTAAATATATTTTTGTAGGATACTACCACACGCCACCAATCCAATCGAGCACGACCCCCACGGCACGCTTCTACTCCCCGGCCTCATATTCCTACCGTAACGCGCAGAATAACGGTACTATGGAATATTCCCTAAGCGATGGTCACGGACAAAACCCCGATCCGAACAATGTCGTAGACCCGAAGCTGATCCCGAAACGTCAGTCATTTTCGATTTTTCAGGCCACCCAAATTTTCAGCCAAGCGAATCGAAATCACCCTCTACTCCTTCGGACCGGACCCCGAGAAGGACTACCATTGGGGCCTGGCGCGAACGTTCCGGGTATTATTCGTGTCGCAATCCGAAGCATCTAAGGCATTTAGCTCTCGTTTCAATTCGACAAAAACATGACGGCAATGAATCGGTATTCCCCGCTAAGGATCTTCAATGACGTGCAGCAAGCCGATTTTGTGCCCATGGATGATTGGAGACTGTGGGGAGGAAGCTAGTATTTGAAAAACACGGCCGGAATGGCGCCTAAACTGTTCTTTTGAGGTTTTTTTTGAGCATAGGGTGTAATTTTGCATTCATGGAGCCGTAAATTGCGCAAAAATCTGGAATTTAAAATGCGGAGCGGCTTTTCGAGAGCTTGCGTTAGCTACAAGGAGACTTTTTGTAACAATCGGGACCAGACCCGACTTGTGCAGACTTTTCCGCTGCGAGACGGCCAAATTCAGGTAAGTGATGCGGCTTTGAAACGAGAAACGGGCTCAAGCCGTACGAATTCCGTGCAGTTGGTGTCTTTTAGGCACCGGAAATTTTTACAACTTGTTCCACGGGGTCGTAAGCCCATATCCAGATTTCTTTAGCCCATAAGCACCTAACGTCGCATCATCAAGTTTTACAGTATACTCTTGATGCCATTACCATCCCGTGTATTTCCTTAGTTATAACGCTTTTGATGCACCGTTTTCCAGGTTCGATTTATCGATTCAAGCGGCATCCGACCGGCTTCGCATCTACGTCAACAATTATGAATTTGCCAACTATGAATTGGACGCGGTTCGTGCAGGGATCGATCATATTGGAATCAACGGGGATGTTGAGGTATCGAAACATTAACTACCGGACTTTTAAACAAATTTAGGTGCTCGGGTTCGAGGGGAACAGTCTAAACGGCCCGCCGGGAATCAATGATCCGATGGCTGTCTTATACCGTCTTTCCAATAATTGAGATATTAATTATGTCCTTGATCTCGGTGCTGCTTGCCTTATGTTTCCCTACGATTTTCCGTCTCCTAGCCTCAGGAATAGCTTTCGCAGCATTTACATACCTTTTGATGTACAGAAAAATCCCGACCGTTCTTTCCGCTGGTCTTTATCACTATGCACTGTATACAAATTTGTGACTAATCAATAAAATGGGTTGCTTAAAAAAAGTGGTTATTAGACAAATTCGCAAAAAAAACTTTCTGCCTCAACTGAAAAATGGCCACCCAAGCGGAGGAAAATGCTCACATTTTTCCGAGAACGACGCGTTAAATAGTTTTGTCTAAATATTTTTTCTGGTATTTTTACGGCATTCAAAGGACGCTATTTCGTTCGTTTTTCGAGCTGAAAATCGTTGTATATTTTCGAAATTGTCGACCGGGAGAAAAAGTGCACTCCTACCGTTCTTTAGTAAGTTACAAAAAAAAATGCAACCTTGAAGGCCGAAAACCTAAACAACACGCTGTATTTCGCGGAATTAGGCAGCTTTTCGCCCAGAGGGAGAGGCTGTATGCAAATGAATCGATATTGCGCGCACTAGGCCCCCGGGGGGTTTCTTTGGAGCCAGCTGGCCGCTCTCACTCCCCCTCTTTGGACCTAGCCGACCAGAAAAACACTTGAAGCCCTCGTGTTCCTCGGCTACAAACGATAATTACTGCGAAACTACTATTATTTTATGAATAGAAATCGGCGCTATGATCATGGCAATGAGGGCCGGCCGCCCGAGATCGAGAAATCGAGCGCACGTTTTGCGGTCGCCATGATTGCTGGTGGGTTTCAGTTTATCGTTACAGAAAGGAGCAAAACCATTTTCAAAAAGTTTAATCAACCTTAAAAATCGAAAAACAAGTAAATTTAAATTTCGCATGCGAATACGTACATGATGGCGTAGATTCGCATGCGTATGCGCGAATACGTACGTTTTTATGTCAATACTATTGACTCAATAGTACTCAGGCGTATCGCAAGAAAATAAGTAACAATTACCATGTATAATAATAAAAATAAGGAAGTGCATAAAGAGTACTAAAAATCATATAAGAATCACAAAGCAAAATTTTTCTAATTTCAGCAATGATAGCTTTATGTCTTTACTTCCAAATCGATTTCACCGAACCCGAAATCCCGCCCGAAGTCGTACACTTTTGGGAAGAAGCCCATTTGGTACGCGATTTTTCGTTCATAATTGCTTTTTAATTTTCTACCGCTTCCGAACAATTGTTCCTTTCTTTAGGCAGACCCAGACCCCCTCGTCGGCACCGGAAAAATTCTGCAAAACCCCCCAAAAATTGGCCAGTATCTTCACATCTTGGGCAGTCCCACGAAAAACGCGAAATCGTGGGAAATCTATTAGTTACGGTAATTTTTCGATTTTTCAGGTTTTGCGTAAGGTTGATAAAAGATTTTGATGACGAGAGCAATATTGCTTGCCGTGTTTGCGCATATTTTGGAGCAGGTATTTCAGAGAATACTAATAAATACTTGTTTCAGAGCCAAGAATTGAATACCATGCTTATCAGAATGGCACCCAACTTTTTGACAACAAAGGACCCAACCCTTTTGCGGTAATTGGGATTTTTTTAGTTATTTTTAATAAGCTTTTTAAATTTTTCAACGAATAAACCACTTTAGCAAGGAGAACAGTTTGACCTCCGCATCCGCTTTCTTGCCGAATATGTCCAAGTTTTTGCGCAACGAGGTGAAATCGGAATTTTTCGTAAGCTACCGGAGTTGCACGAGGTGAGCCGGATTTCGAATGCCCATACCTAAAATTAGGCAAGTCACCTAAAAGTCAGTGGGGACGTGACAAATTTGCGGTTGATGGAGGTTGATGGTGGGCAGTATGCGACGCCGTACTATCGAAGGATAGATTTTGGGTTGAGACTGGATATTGCGTTGAAGCCGGTCGCTGAAGGTAAGACTCGAGTACTCTCTCTCTCTCCTCTCTCTCTCTCTCTCTCTCTCTCTGCCTCCTTCTCTCCTTCTCTCCACGTAACGTTCTATTTGGCTATTATACTTTTTCCTTTTTTAGTCGACCCAGCCGTCTGGCAATCACTCCTCGAAGGTCAGCCAATGAACGGTAAAAGTCATTAAATCACAATTGACAATTTTTCAGATTCCACAATCCGCGTGAAGCGTAAAGGCGGAGGCGGAGGCGGACGTGGAGGCGGAGGAGCTCGTGGCGGAGGAGGATGGGGAGGCGGATCTCGCAGTGGTTCGGGACGTAGCGGAGGAAGCTCCCGAGGTGGCGGCTTTAATTGGGGCAGCAGTGGTGGAAAAGGTCTGGTTAAATAAACTTCATAGCCACAATACGAGGTGCAGCATCCACCTTCAAGACATCAAGCCGGTCTTCGTATCGTACCTCAGCGATCAGGAGCGGTCCCAGTGGTGGTTACGGTTATGGCCGGAGTAATATGGGATTCTACTGGTATTCGCCGATGTATGGAGGCAAGTAGAATGTGTATTTTATAAATTATTATTTTATTAAGCTTTTATAAATTATTTTTGGAGATAAATTTGACTTCTTTATTTGGTTCAACACTAGTTTTCGGGCCTTAGAAAGTATCTTAAAATAACACGCGCCTCTTAAGCCGACGAGAATTGCCTTCACCGCTGCTTTATACTGCCTCTAACGTCAAATTAACTTTCAGGATACTACCATTCCCGTCAAACCTACTCTAGCAACAGTCACGCCAGCCCTGACCCCAGCGCCCATTTCTATGCACCGGCATCCTATTCCTATCGTAACCCCCAAAATGGTTCTATGGCATATTCCCTAAGCGATGGCCATGGAAAACACTACGACCCAAATAATTATATTGATCTAAAGACAGTTCCGAAAGGTATGTTATTTTTAGTAACGCGGAATCAAATTTTTAGCTCAAATAATCGATATATTATTCTACAAGGCCGGCGATAACACCACCGATCCCGCTGGGTTGATGCCGACATTTAAGGTAATTTTATGAGTATAAAAAACCTTGATACCGTTGCCGTTTTCGGTACCGGACTATTAGCGGGGGGGGGGGGATAATGTTTCAATGTACTTGTTGATGAGATATAATATTTTCTGTCGTATTTTAGTGATTTTTGATTGCTAGAAAAGTTTGCAGAAAAACTCAGACTTTTTTTTGAGCCGGTCCCATTCATACGTCTATTTTTAGGTCTCATTCCACTTCTCCCAAAATGCCACCACACTCAGCCGGCGTGTCCTGCAAAATTGGGTCAACGAGGAACGCGCCAATTTCGTGCCGATGGACGATTGGCGAATGTGAGTCCGAGCTGGCACTTATCTGATTTAGATCAAAAAGCCGTATCCGAACCAAAAATCTATATCGACTATTTCAGATTTGACTTGGTCATCCGGTCTGCAGAAGATAGGCTCAAAATCTACGTCAACAATTTTGAATTTGCAAACTACGAATTATACCCTGAAATCAAGGCCAGCGAACATATCGGAATTACAGGGGATGTGGAGGTACTATCTCTTTTTGTGCTGAATTTACATTAAAAATTGATTTATTAGGTCCTCGGCTTCAAGGAGAATGGTATACTCGCTTAAAAACCGGTGTTGAAGATTCGTCAAAAAACATTTTTGTACATAATTTCCTCTGTTATCGTTTGTTTTTTGTTGACATATATATAATTTTGTTTGTACATATTTCCAAAAATTAAATCCTCCACTTCATTTGTTCACTTCATCAGTGTGGCTTCAGGATGCCGTTGTCGATTCTCGGAAGACCGGTCAATTTCTTGCATTTCTTAATCCCAAAATTCATATGTCATTAATTTTTCCAAATTTTTACGGTAGTTTGTCGGATAAAATTTTTGCGAATTGTATGACACAAAACATCCACGGAATCATGCAATCGTGGTTGCTAAAACCTGGCCACCAGCACAGCTGTCAGGAAATGCGGCGACTTCGCCCACTCGGCCCCCACCTGGCCCACTACCCCGCCAGGTAACCGATCCTCTCCCTCCCGAAATCAGCTTTGCGCAGAGGTGATAACGTGACCAATGAGGCCTAGCCGAGGTGCGTTTATTGCTGGTTGAAAACTGATACCAATTACCCGTCGCTTTCTGCCCTGAAATATGGGTGTTGGCGCAATTTTTGAACGCCCCTCGGGGGCAGAAAACGAATGCAAGTTTAAGGTATACTACAGCATTTTGTTACTAATTGGCTGCTTGGATTCTGCAGACAAACGACCATCTATTAACATGACGTGATCAAACTTTTGCATGCAAATTACCCATCCCTACCCGCCTTACAGCTTTTGCAAGTTCCAATGACATAGTTGCTCTCCAGCGACCACTAGCCTCTGGGCTGAAAATAGCCCCCGGGCCCTGGAATGACGTGTTTCGGGTCGCTTCCCGGGTCCCGACTAGGGCCCAGGACACGCCCATCTCGGCCCCCAAGTCTAGACTATAGACCTTGAGGCGCATCTCTGAGACTTGATCGTCTTCATTGGCTTGGCCTAAATTAAAGACCTCAGCTATGACGCGACTCTGGAATGGGATCAAACCAAGGACCGAGGCAGATTCAGAAAACGCCAGGCCTAAAGGTACGCTTTCTATGAAAATTCCTGGATGCCTCTGAAAGTATAAAATTCCAATTCTGATGAAATTAAGCTAAAACCGCAACGCGAAGAAAGGAAAAAGAATAGATTCTCATTAAAATGGTGGAAGTCTGCAGTTCAGGATATCTTAAATTCAGATGAACCTCCTGCCCAGTCCGCCGGTGAGGAGCAGCCGAAACGCAAGGATGAGTTAAGACGTTCCCATCGGAATGTATTTATAGTGAGGATCATTATTCTCGTTTTTCTCGGTACGTTTAAGCGGTCTACGAGATGGTTTGGATAGATTACTAACTATAGAAATACCTATTTTTCGCCTTAAGCAAAATTTCAGCGTTTTGCCCTTCTCAGGTTGTTAATTTTGGCTGAAAAATTTGTTTAGCTGTCAATATTTAGCAACGTGCCTTACCCTGCTGCCGTATTCTGACGCCGACATATTCAACTCACCCCAGGAGATCCAGTTCTGGGATGAGAAACTGCCAGTAAGTTTCCTGAATCTCCACCGATTTTGATGTTTTAGGCATATTGTGATCAACTAAACGGGACCCGAAAGCTTCTGGTCGACCTCCCAAAAATTGGCCAATACATACACCTTGTCGGAAATTTGAATAAAAAGGCTAAATCGTAAGCAAACATCGTTCTACACGATTTTTTAACTATGTTTAGGTTTTGCGTAACACTTTCGAAAAATTGGGAAGACGCTAATCCCGATCTTAGTGTTTGTGCCTATTTTGGGAAAGGTAATTATCAGAGCGTACCTGTACGTACGATTAGAATCGAAAATCGTATATCAGGCCTATAAAGATGGCCAGAGAATTCATGACTACGATGGCCCAAACCCGTTTGAGGTACCGTAAGGGTGTAATAAAATTTAATTAGACTTTTAGGATCCCAGAACAACCTTCCCAAAAATTGACCTCCGCATCCGCTTCCTCCCGGATCTTGTCCAGATCTTTGCTCAAAGAGGAGAAATTGGAGTCTTCCCGAAACTTCCTGAAGTGCCTGAGGTATCCCAAGTATGAGAAGCCGTAACGTAAGTTTTAGTTGACCTGCTTGAAGTTGACGGGAGATGTCATCTACCCAACGCTGTTTCAAGTAGATGGCGGGATGTACATGACGCCCACGCTTCGCAGGATGAGTTACGGCGAGAGAATTGATATTACGATGAAGCCGATGGCAGCTGGTGGGTTGCGAGACCGCAGAAATTCCTAGGTGACAATGGTCCAGACCGGTTTTATCTAACGTTTTAGCCCACCCCGAGCTCTGGGAGTCGCTGATTGAAGGTCAACCACTAAACGGTAATGTTTATTGCTTAAAAATCAACCTAAAAAATTAGCGACCGATGTAAAACTGGAGGCACCCCATCGTGGCGGAATTCCTGGTGGCAGACCAGAAGGAAAAACCGTGGTCGAGCGAGTCGGTAAAGAATTTGAATCATCTAGCAGCGTACCCTTCAACATTTAGGCCGGACAATTGGAATGGGGCATGGAGACGCTCGATTTTGGGGGTATAGTCGAGCTGCGGAGCGTAGCCTGAAGAAGTCAAGAAATGGGCTTGGGTATAGTAGCTATGGGAGCTATCCGTATGCACCGGTTTTTGGAGGTAGGTGGAGAGAGAGAGAGAGCAAGAGAAAGAGAGAGAGAGAGAGAGAAGAGCGTGAGAGTTGCGCATTCAAAACACCTTTCTAGGCTACTACCCTGGACCAACGCACTACTGCTCAGCTGGTCCCCATTTCTACTCCCCCGCTTCTTACTCATACCGTAACTCCACCAGCCAGCTCGTCGTCCATGTCCCCAGTTTTGGCCATGGCAAAAATCCAGATCCGAATTTTATTGTGGACGAGACCCTGATCCCAAGCGTGAGTTTTTTACGTACTCCAACGGAAAACCCCAAACCTCACCTTCATCAAATTTTTTAGCACGTTCCATCAGCGTCAAATTCTTCCGGCGTAAAGTTTTGACCTTTGAGGTGATTTTTAAAGCATCATCGTAACACACTGGCTATTTTTCAGTTGCTCTTCTGGTTCCCACATAAAGCCGTCGTAATGAATACCTTTATTAATGGCTGCCGTCAAGAGCCGGATCAAGCCGATTTTCTGCCGATTGATGACTGGCGAGTGTAAATTTGAGTTATGGAACTGTAAAATTAATAAGGGATTGATAGACAATAAATATATGATTTTAGATTTGATCTAACGATAAAGCCAGAGAACGGATACCTCAAAATTTACATCAATAACTTTGCCTTTGCCCGCTACAAGGAAAACGAACAAATCAGGGCTTCGGACCATTTTCGGATTAGTCGCGATGTCGAGGTGATCAAATAAATAGAAAATTAAGAAATCCATTTAGATTACCAACATCCAACGCAACGGGAAAATGATGCTGCCTGACTATTATTTTTCCGCCTGATTGGTCCTGCGCTCCCACCGAGGACGTTCTATTAAACGGACAATCTTATTTGGGTGCTCAATTATGCGGACCTCATTTTTATTTTTTTTTTTTTGGCAAATAAAGTCATATTTTTATTATGAAGTACATCAATACGTCAGGATGATTGATTCCATTCCTTGAGCGTTTCTTCAGTTTGGTTTGTTGCCACCCTAAGAGTTTCAGATGCCGTGAGAGCCGTTTACATGTACCAAAATTCCCTTTCACCTGTGGTGCTGATTTGAAAGCTTGCTGTAGCGCCCGAGCGCCAATCACATCGTTGGCCTTCGGCGAGCAAAGTGTTGAGAGCTAAAAATACCCACCCGGGTCCTGGTGACGTATTCGGGTCGGTCTCGACTCGGGCCCAGGCCACGCCCCTTACACGTCCTCGTGGGCCTTGTCTAGGCCCTCTCGAATCTCACCAGCCCTCAGTTGGCCTATATTATGCCGTCTGCCTGCAGCTAGCCCCTGACATGAAGCCCCTTTGTAATATTTTGATCAAAAAAGTGGGGTTGGAAATTTAAAACTTCTACCTCACAACCGGATGGTAGGTTTTTGTGTGCTTACAAGGAGTCGCTTTTAGGTGCTTTTGGAGTTTCGGGACGGGACTTAGCTAGTTCGATAGCGAAAAAAATCCTGAGCAACATCCCGTTTTCAAAAAGTGCTGATCGATTAAGGTGTTTTAGAAAATTTAATTTAATTAAAAAAGTTCCCGACGTCCGGACCCTGGTGGTGATGTGAGGTTATTTGCGGCGGTCGACCGTCCCCGCCACATGAGGACTCCACGGGCCTTGGATCCCGTCCTATGCATGGCCAAGTGGCTAGTGCGATGGCCTACGAATTTTTTTTTGACTTTTTGCCACAAGTTCGATTCTTATTTATCGTTAACTCTTTGCTTTTTTGCTAATTAAAATTTTATGCACCGATAACGGGTTCAAGAAACAAAAAGCAAAGGGTTAGCTAGCGCGAAGATTCGAACCCGAGGCAAAAAAAATGTTAGAAAGTTGTTAGGCAAGCGCGCTACCAATACGCCAATGCAACCTGTGATGGAGGCATTGGCGGAGGGTTACGAATGGCGCCTTGCCCAGCCCCGAAAACGACGTGCACCGAGGAAATGGACCCGAAAACTAGAAAAAAGCGCGAACTTTAAATTAAATTTTCTAAAACACCTTAATCGATCAGCACTTTTTGAAAACGGGATGTTGCTCAGAATTTTTTTTCTCTATCGAACTAGCTAGGTCCCGTCCCGAAACTCCGAAAGCACCTAAAAGCGACTCCTTGTTAGAAGCTTGTTAAGCTTGATTAAACTTTCACGTCATTTCGGGTGTTAAAAGTAAAACATTCATTTAAATTTGCAGGAACTTAATTTTGTTGAGATTATGGCGAGCCCGGCAATACGCTCGAGTTTGCCGAGAATGCTTCTCCTTGTGTCGCCGCTGGGAAAATAGCCGCAAGAGTGCTTTGCTACATAAGCCTCTTCATCTTTTGCTTGGGTTGGTTTTTAATATGAATTGCTTGACCGCCTGTCCTACTATTCGACTCCACTCACTACTACCACTTATCTACACTTACTCGCACACTCTCGCTTACTCTCGCTCGCTCACACTTTCTCTCTCTCTCTCTCTCTCGCTCTCTCTCTCTCTCCCTCTCTCTCTCTCTCTCTCTCTCTCTCTCTCCCTCTCTCTCACGCACTCACTCCGTCACTCTCCCCCTCACCGTCACTTGCTTTCCCCTACTCTTTCTTGTTGTGTCTCTCTCTATAAAACTCATTCAGTTATCACTTTTTTGCCTGACCGACTCCACAACTACGATCCTTCTGAAGTTTTTGCACCCGAAGAGATCCACTTTTGGGATGAAACGTTGCTGGTAAATTTTTTGGCTACTGTCATAGATTCAAAATATTTTCCGGCGAATCCCGATCGCATTAATGGGACGCGAATAACTCTTGCCGAGCCGCCAAAAATTGGCCAATACATCCACCTGGTCGGGAACTTGAAGCCGGGGGCTAAATGGTAGGGAAAGGGCTGATGGTCATTTTTCCGAAATCAATTTTGCCTAAAGCCATTTTTCCTCAAAAAATTTTTCATCCAAATCATATTTCAAATTTTAGGTTTTGCGTGACGCTTGCCGGAAAGTTTGACTCTCCTGGCGTGTCATCCAGTGTTTGTGCAATTTTTGGAAGTGGTAAACATCCAATTTAATCCCATACGAGCATCACTTTAGATGCAAAAATCATTTACGAGGCTTATCGAGGCGAAAAGCGGATCTATCAAAATGAGGCGACGAATCCAATTTCGGTATTTTTATATTCCGTTTTTTTTAATCTGGATTCCTACGCTTTCCAATGAAAAACTCCTTAAAAGAAATAATCAAAATCCAAATAACTTCATTGTTGTCAAATTTAGATCATTTCATCAAACCACTTACCTAAAAAAAATTCAGGAGCCAGTGAAGTCAAATCCAAAAATCGACCTCCGCATCCGGTTCCTCGCGGAATATGTCCAAATCTTTGCGCAACGCGGTGAAGTCGGGATCTTTCGAAAACTCCCCGAAGTCCATACGGTAATAGCAAATCAAAAAAAATTCTAATTACCATGTTTTAGTTCCGATTTCTGCAGCTAACTGGCGATGTAATCAACCCCACGCTCATGAACGTCGACGGCGCGAGGTACAGGGCTTTCACATCTGTGGGGTTCAAATATGGCGCGAGGTTGGATATGGCGATGCTGCCGATGGTAACCGGTACCTATTTGATGACTCTCGCGCCGAGCTCGGGCATTCCAAAGCAAAATTTAGAGCTTTTGCTCTCTCTCTACGTTTTATAGTAGCCCTTAATTTAGTTGAACCCGCAGTTTGGGAATCGCTGATTGAAGGCGGTGCAACGAAACGTAAGTTGACCTGGCTTTGGTTGGCCTCAGACTTGGCTTAGTCCAGGCTTAGGCTTAGGCTGAGGCTGAAGTCTGGGCTTAGGCTAGGGCTTTGGCTCGATTCGTTTTTTCGAAAACGTTTTGAAGGTAAATCGACGCGTGTAAAGCGTCAAAGCGGAAGAGGAGGCGGTGGACGTGGCAGCGCGTCCGGGAATGGTTAGTGTTACTGGCCACTTATCAAAAGATTTTTTTGGACGCTTGGAGCAGGGAAGGCTTCGGGAGAGCGACCTTCCAGGGGTATAGCCGCTCGATTTGCCGGACGTCGTTGATCTCTAGGGGTGGAAATATTGGCCGCGGATCCAGCAACTATGGTAGCTATCCGTACTCGCCGAAATATGGAGGTGGGTGGAGATAGAGAAAGAGAGGGCGTGAGAGAGAGAGAGAGTGAGAGAGAGAGATGGAGAGCCCAAGCCTTCATTCTAGGATACTACGACGCACAAACTCCCGTGGTCCGAAATCGCTCTCCAGTTGGCCTCTACTCCCCAGCCACTTATTCATACCGTAATTCCTCGAACAACAGAATGGTCTATGTCCCAAGTTACTTCCATAACCATAACCCGGACCCAAATTTTGCTATCGACCAAGTCAATATCCCAAAACGTAAGTCGTACTGTCCTTCTTAACCGTTTTTCAGCCATACACATCAATATTGTATTTTATCGTGACCGCACTCCAACATTTCTCGTAAGATTTACACCCTAAAATAACGGATTTTTAGATAATTTTTCTATATTCCTTGAATTTTGTTCAACTAAATACTTACACAGACCGCTGGCAACAGCCTGATCAGTCTAATTTCTTGCCGATTGACAATTGGAGGCTGTAAGTTTTTGGTTTAAGGTCGTGATATAATTTTTTGGGCATTACTCGGTATTTCCATGTACTTTTAGATTTGATGTGTCGATAAAGCCTGTCGATGGACACCTCAAAATCTACATTAACAACTTCGAGTTTGCTAGTTACGAGGAGAATGTGCAAATAAAGGCTTCAAATATCTGCTCGATTTATGGGGATGTTGAGGTAATTGTAATTCAGATACTGCCCCAGCTTTCCTAAAAATGTTGCCAATTAATTAAAGAAAAACAGTATTTTTATTGTCTAAAAAATCTATACTTCCAGGTCCTCACGCTGAAGGCCGACGGGAAGATACTTGCTCCAGAATGGGGCGCGCTACCCAAAAAGCAGTAATTTGGACAGCTACGGGTTTTCCGTTTCGATTTACTCAGATTTTTTGGTGCTTCTGGAATCCGACCTCATCGCTTTTGCAGTCCCATCGGAATATACATTTTAACCTTCACGACAGCTAAAATAAGACCGTTTTTTATTACAGACCATCACGTTTTTTTCTTCTTTTTCGACAATATAACGCCGACCTCAGCCAGCCTAAAACCGAGCAACAAGAAATTGCAAAGACCGAGAACCCGACTGATAAGCTATGTTAATCCACAACAATATTGATCGTCTAGCAAAGCGTGATTCTCACTCGCTCCTCACCTGGCCCACTACCCCGCCAGGTAACCCATCCCCGCCCCTCCAAATCAGCTTTGCGCAGAGGTGATAACGTGACCAATGAGGCCTAGCCGAGGTGCGTTTATTGCTGGTTGAAAACTGATACCAATTACCCGTCGCTTTCTTCCCTGAAATATGGGTGTTGGCGCAATTTTTGAACGCCCCTCGGGTGGCAGCGAAACAGACGATGCAAAGCTAACAAGGATTTTCTAATACCTGGCTGTTTTGATACTGCAGAAAAACAGCGACGCACGAAAAGGGGGCGCTACTCAAAAATTTGGGATGGAATCTATATAACGTCAGCTTTTTCTTGTTGGATTGGCAACTTGGTCTTGGGTGCTCCTGGAATCATTTCTCATTACTCGGGTCTTAAATTTGAATAAAAGTTATGCACATTACGAGTTTAATGTTATTCAGAAAAATTAAAGTTTTCGGATACCGCCGGGAGAGCCAGCTATTTTGTCCAAATTTCAATTTGTATTTCCCGAAATTCTCTCTAGAATCTGTATAAACAGTGGTGGTTATGGCTCTGCAGTTTGTTTTGATCCTAAAATTAGCACTTTTCACAAGTAAAACTAGTGTAAAAAACTTGGAAAAAAGCTATTTCTATGTATTGCAGGACGCTGTAATCTAATAAACAGATTTTTAAACGGAAATTGAAGCTTTTCGTGTGACACTGCTTGCGTACTTCTTGTTACGTCCAAGGTGCCAATGACATAGTTGTGCTCTGGCGACCAGGAGTCCCCAGGCAAAAATAGCGCTCTCGTGACGTATTTCGGGCCTCTTTCCTGGGTCTCGGCTAGGGCCCAAGCCACGCCCCTGGGTCCTAGTCTGGCCTGGCCATGCTGCAGCTCATTTTGCTAATATGGCTTGACTTACTATAGATCTAAGTGGATCTAAATTTAAAACCATGGATCGTTCGCGGAATCTATTCAAGAGGAGTAACAGCGAAAATGCTGGAGTTGTCGCGGTTCCCCAAGGTATATTTTAATTAGCTTTAAAACTAAGGGAAAATATACAAATCTAAAACTATAAATAAGCTAAAAATTTTAGTGTGCGTACCAATGGCAGATTTACTGGCGGAGGACCTGCGAGCAGCCGAAGAAGAGGTGAAGCGGAGGGCGGAAGCGCAGATGCGGAGGGCGCAAACCGAGAGCAACGGGAAAAAAAGGGATGAGCGCACCAGGCGCGGTTTTGTCCTTCTGTGCCTGGGTGGGTTGGCAAATAACTTAATAGATTTTGCATTTTCATTTCACGTCATTGATTTGTATCGATGGATATCATCATATGGATAAAAATACCACAAAACATTTTTTAAAATATTTGCCTTTAAAAAGCCGGCCCTTGCTTTCTAAAAATGCAACTAAAGCTGTTTCAGCTTTTATTCTTGGCCTAATCCTGATCGCCGATGAAGAATGGCTTGACCCTCCTGAAGAGATCCAGTTCTGGGATGAGCAGCTACTGGCAAGTGTAAAAACATCGCCATGACCTCTATTTTTAGCCAGACCCAGATCCGCTTAACGGCACCAGAATCACTCTATCTAGCCCTCCAAAAATTGGTCAATACATTCATCTTGTCGGGACATTGAAATCAAACGCCGAATCGTAAGCGAAACGTATTCAGATCGATATTCGAAATAAATTTTAGATTCTGTGTAACGCTTTCCACGGAGTGGGACTCAATTCAGCCGGACCTTAGCGTTTGCGCGGTGTTTGGAAACGGTAAATTGACATTGGAATGATGTAGAATTTTGATAGATCCGAAAATCGTATACCAAGCTCATCGAGACGGGGAGCGAATCCATCAAAATGAGGGTCCGAATCCGTTCGAGGTAGGTAATTTGGATCGCCAAGAAAATTTAGGCTTCAGGTTTCGCTTTCAGCCTGAAGCCGTTCGGCCTGGGTTTTGAGCTTATTACAAGACTTTCGCTTTTTGTTAATTTATAAAATTTATAAATTACGCTATACAAAACCCCTTTCAGGATCCCGAAAAACTAAACCCAAAAGTCGACCTTCGCATCCGCTTCCTCCACGATTATGTCCAAATTTTTGCGCAACGCGGAGAAATCGGGATTTTTAAAAAGTTGCCGGAAGTGCATCAAGTAAGTCCCAGATCCTACCAAACGATTTTTGAATAGTTGACCTGTCTGAAACTGACCGGTGACATCATCCTCCCTACCCTGTTGCACGTCGAAGGTGGCCTATACAACTCAATGGCGGTCAAAGAGATGAAATACGGCGAGAGGTTGGACGTGACGCTGCTTCCCATGACGTCATGTGAGTATGCCGGAACATTAAAATGACATTGTGATCAATTAAGACATTAACGCGTCGTGCTGGGAGTCGCTGATCGAGGGCCGGCCCATCGCATCAATAGACTCAAAAACGCGGGTGAAACGCAAAGGTGGTAGTGGTGGAGGTAGGGGTGGCGGAGGAGCACGAGGCGGAGGAGCACGGGGCGGAGGTGGACGCGGGTCGTCAATAGGTACGCGCCCTTAAGAATATAGTGCAGTGTGCTACGTTTTTGGGTCGTACATCTGGTGGTGGATTCGGTGGATCGTCATTCAAGGGGTTCGGCCGATCGACGGCGCGGACGTCGTCATTACTTCGAAGCGGAAGGGTTCGGACTGGCGGTCGGGGGACCAGTAGCTACGGAATCTACGGTTACTCGCCGTCTTCTGGAGGTGTGCTTACTTTGAAAATGTCGAAATTCATAAAGTAGAAAATCCAGCATGTGAATTTCGCAACGTCTAAAATTCAGGATTTCGAAGTTTCATAATATCGATATTTCAGCATATCGAAATTTTATATGACCGAAATTTCACTGGACTTTTAGGGTTTTTTCGAAACGACTGTTTTAATTGTTTGCTAAACCTTCTTTTGTCAAAACGTTTCGACATTTCTTGTCACCATTATGAAATTTCAGGATTATGAATTTCGACATCAGAAATTTCGCATTTGCGAACGTAACGCGAGTTAGCGATGATACGAAAATTCCGCCTTCTTACCGAATATTTCTAGGCTACTACTATCGACAACCTTCCGAAGTCAGCCAAAAGCAAACAGCCATCAACTACTATGTACCATCCACCTACTCCTACAAGCAAGGCTATATCAGCATGACCTACACCACCAGCTATGGGCACGGCAAAAATCCGGATCCGATTTTTGTCCTGGATAAGACGAAGATCGTTAAACGTAAGTTATTAGATTTTTCCACTATGAAGACAGCTCTATTACATGAAGCTAACCTCAGCTTTTGTGGTAAAATCGCGTTTTTGCCGATTCAAAATTTCTCATTAAATCCTAGCTCTACGGAGAAGTTAAAAAAAGGATCCCGTTCCATTCCAGCGTTCTGGCTGTACGTTCGTTTTACGAAAAAAACACCCGAAGGAAATAAAGAGGCCTTTAAAGTAAGCTCCATATCTTAATTTCTTCCAAAATTCCTGTTGTGTCAGATATCGTTTGAGTTTTGGAGCAATACGGTCAAGCTCAATACCTACGATGGCGGTTGGTTGAAGGAAGATAAGGCTGATTTTATGCCGATCGATAATTGGAGGGTGTAGGTTTTTTATTGCTTAAGCGTCCGGCCGAACCATTCACAATCAATAAAAGCCGAATTCCAGATTCGATTTAACGATCAAACCAGTCGACGGGTACCTGAAATTCTATATCAACAATTTTGAGTTTGCCAGCTATAAGGAGAATGACCAAATTAGGTCCTCGGATGGATACCAGGTCTGCGGTGATGTGGAGGTAAATACGATAATAAATATTGCCACAAACGTTTTTAAGGTGTGGAGCAGCAAAACAAACGGAAAATTGGCTTCTGAAGACTATGACTTTCGAGGTCTAGTCAGCGAAGATTGGCGACGAGCTAAGGCCAAGGCTGAATCTCGGCTCCCATTTTAACAAAGTGCTGATCGATTCTTTGGTGCGCGGTTTACCTCATCAAACTCTTTCTTGATGCTAATAAATGGTTCTAAACACCGACTTACATCTCGCATTTCGGCATCGATGCACCCACTCGCCCCCCACCTGGCCCTCTGTCCTGCCAGATACCCCACCCCTCCCTACCGAAATCCGCTTTGCGCAGAGGTGATAAGGTGACCAATGAGGCCTAGCCGAGGTGCGTTTATTGCTGGTTGAAAACTGATACCAATTACCCGTCGCTTTCTGCCCTGAAATATGGGTGTTGGCGCAATTTTTGAACGCCCCTCGGGGGCAGAAGGGCGTACGCAAGTTTAAGGTATCCTAAGCCAAATTAATATTACTTGGCTGCTAGGGTTATACAGAAAGACGTCTATCCACTAAAATGACGTGATAAATCTTTTCCATGCAAATTACCCATCCTGGTCTCGCTATCAACTTTTGCAGGTGCCAATGACATAGTTGCTCTCCAGCGACCACTAGTCCCGGGCTGAAAATAGCCCCCGGGCCCTGGAATGACGTATTTCGGGTCGCCTGCCGGGTCCCACTAGGGCCCAGGCCCCGCCCCCCTGGGCCCAAGTCTAGTTCGCAATCTGCCTGCAGCAAGTCAGGTCGCCCTTTCAGCGATGGCATTATATTACGCCATGAAATTGACTGCGGCTCTGAAGCGGCACTATCAAAAACTGAAATGTCGAATCGAGAATCGGAATTCGACTTCATCGGCCGAGGATTCAACAACTGCGGGT